GCAAGGCACACTGTCCTCCCTTTGCTTTGTTTCTGAGTCTGGGTGAATTTTTCTTACCACTTCTTATGCCTGCCTCTCCACCCCAACTCCTAACCCCCATCATCTCTCTACATCCCCTGTTTCTCCCCTTTAAATAATCTGCCAGTTGCAACCCAAGTAAACTTTCTGACAGGTGGAGACATGTTGTTCTCTGCCGTCCAGAGGATGGAGTCCGGACTCCCTGGTGGGATGAGTCATGTCACCCCTACCTGCCTCTCCAGCTGCCGTCCCCAGGCTCCCCCACCTCCCACCCAGCCCAGTGTGCAAGTGCACGTCCCCAGCTGCACCGGACTGTGCCCTTCGCCCTGCAGTTCCCTTTCTCTGGGCTGCCCTTCCCTGCCTGCTCACTTTCTGAAGCTTCGCCATGGACCTGTTAGGTTCCTTCAGTTGAACTGGCTGTTCCCTCCTCCAGGGCACAACCAGAACCTATGGAAACTTATATCTCAGCACCTCTGAAGGAAGCTTTATTTAACTTGCTGAGGATGTGTGTGTTTACCCACATGAAAATAGATGTTACAAGGACAGTTGTTAACTGAATTTTAAAAAATGTGTTAAGCCCCACATTCTTTATAGTCATCTTTTTTCTGTGTCATTGTTGTTTAAACTACTTTGTCATAACTTCAAAGAAATGTAGTTTATGGTATAATCTAATTCTCCCTCCACCCCAGTTTCCTTTACTCAATCACATATAACTAACAAAATTTCACACAATATGTATCTTCAGTATGTGCTCTGTTCTTAGATTTTTTTCTTTGGTACTCTATTTATTTAACTTTAAAATGCTGTTTGTACCACTAATTGATCATAGTTTGAATAGCACTGATCTTGGTTAACTTTTCAAAAAGATTTTGAACTGAACGCTCTACCAGCTTTGTAACTGATGTTTAAACTTAAAAGGAGTCCATGGACAAATAATTTTGGGAAACCATATATGCAATGCCCTGCTCTCATAGAGAACCCCAAATACATGGCTTAGCTGTTGGAGGCTTTGAACGGGCCTGCACTTAACACTTTGTGAGCATAAAACACATTATTTGCTTCACACAAATGACATTCCAGAGGATCAGCATTTCTGGGATCCACCCAGGTTAGAAAACACTGAAAGCATGCTGATCTAGGGGCTCTAAATGATAGCTCTATGTGAAGTTCTATTATAACCAATCTCTATTATTAGACTCATTTGCTTAACACTCCACCCCCCTGCCTTCACTAGAAAGTGTTGTATTCTTATGATCATAGCTCTCATTGCAGTCAGGGAATATTGTCTCTCTTAAAAGAATTTTATTTAATGGTGAAAATTATGTAATTTGTGATATTTCCCTTTTTTGCCAGAAAGTTTCAAGTGAAATTAAATCCTCATTTGCAGTAATAATATTGGACTGAAATGTATGACTGCTGTCTTTGTGGACTAGATTGGTTGAATGTGATTCAAATTAATATTTAGCCTAATTGATTTACAGAATTACTTCTTTCTATTCGGTTTTAAAATTTACTTTCTAATTTAAGAGTCTGATAGAATGTGTGCCTTTTATTGTAAATCACTTAATTCTTTTGGAAGCAAATGGGATATAAATTTTAACAAAATACACCATCCAGTTGTAATAACCCACAAACCCATAGGGTGTTTAAAATACAGATCTTTTTTCCTGACTTCACTACCTTTCAATAACTGAGAAATGCTATGCATTCTGCAACAGGAATATTTTGAGGGCATTTTTGTACCCTACCCCCGATGCCATAAAATCCCTGAGCAGTTGAAAGAACAGCAAAGTTAAAACGATATCTCTACACTCAATTAATATTTATTAACCAAACCAAATGACATTTGCAGCTTTCTAGATGAATTAGAGAATAATAGTTTCACAGAAACCATCTCAGCACTAAAGATACTTTCTTGCCAGTCTAGTTTTCTCCACCACTAGGGATCCCAGTACAAAGATAAGCAGTGATTACTGAGAGCATTTCATCTAATGGATGGGGTGGAATTTCTTAATATATTTCCCCTACGAATTCAGTGACCTAGAGTAATTGTCTATACCCCTATCTTGCCTAAAGGAAATGTTTTGATTTATCTCTATAAAGCTTCTCACTAAACAGTTGCTTTGTCTTTTTTATTGACATAAGGGAAGCTGTAGAAGGTATTAAGAAAGATAAAACCAAATCCTAGTCATTAAATTCACTGTCAAGGGTTGAAAGTAAAAGGGAGAGAAATTTTCTTTTAAATAAAAGATAAAGTTTTAACATGTCTGTACTGTACAAAGTAGAGTGCTTCTTTAAAAGAAAAGAAGATGGTATATATCTTAAGTCTTTAAATCTTGGGTCACTTTTAATCATAGTGGTGTTAATCACTCTCTTAGGCCTTGGAACCATGGTAGTAGAACAGATTCTACCCAAGAAGTATATTAATCAGGGCAGGAGAATAAAAATGACAGTCTTTATCCAGAAGGGGCATCATCTTTTCTATAAGCTTTATAATTATAATTTAACCATAATTGTGCCCATATATATATATTTTTTGGTATCATTAATATAAAATCACATGAGCAACATTGTGGTTACTAGATTCCCCCCATTATCAAGTCTCCACCACATACCCCAATCCAGTCACTGTCCATCAGCATAGTAAGATGCTATAGAGTCACTACTTGTCTTCTCTGTGTTATACTGCCTTCCCCGTGCCCCCGCCTACGTTATATGTGCTAATCCTAATGCCCCTTTTTCCGCTTATCCCTCCCTTCCCACCCATCCTCCCCAGTCCCTTTCTCTTTGGCAACTGTTAGTCCATTCTTGGGTTCATGAGTCTTCTGCTGTTTTGTTCCTTCAGTTTTTCTTTGTTCTTGTACTCCACAGATGAGTGAAATCATTTGATACTTGTCTTTCTCCACCTGGCTTATTTCACTGAGCTTAATACACTCTAGCTCCGTCCATGTTGTTGCAAATGGTAGGATTTGTTTCTCTCTTATGGCCGAATAGTATACCATTATGTATATGTACCACATCTTCTTTATCCATTCATCTACTGATGGACACTTAGGTTGCTTCCATTTCTTGGCTATTGTAAATAACGCTGTGATAAACATAGGGGTGCATATGTCCTTTTCAAACTGGGATCCTACATTCTTAGGGTAAATTCCTAGGAGTGGAATTCCTGGGTCAAATGGTATTTCTATTTTGAGTTTTTTGAGGAACCTCCACAGTGCTTTCCACAATGGTTGAACTAGTTTACATTCCCACCGGCACTGTAGGAGAGTTCCCCTTTCTCTGCATCCTCGCCAGCATTTGTTGTTCCTAAGTCTTTTCTATGGTGGCCATCCTAAGTGGTGTGAGGTGATATCTCATTGTGGATTTAATTTGCATTTCCCTGATAATTAGCAACATGGAACATCTTTTCATGTGCCTGTTGTGTACCTGTACATTTTTAAGTGATCTCTAATTGGTTTTCTTCATGCCCAAGGCCCACAATCCTCATTCCTACCTTGAAGTTTCAAACTGTAGGATTTCTTTTCTCTCTCCCTCTTCCTCTATGGTAGGATCCCATCCCTTCCTGGGGATTTATTAGATACCCTTTTATTAAGTCCCCACTATGTGTCAGCCACAGTGCTTGGCACCAAGGATGTAGCTGTGAACAAGAACCTCAAGGTCCCTAGGCTCGTGGGATGTACTAAGTGGAACAGGAGGTAATTACATGAGTCCTTGAATCCCATGAAGCACTTTGTGGTATAACTTCCAAGCCCAATATGGGTGTTGTATGATGTTGCTTATCATATGTTTCAGTCCAGGGCCCACCTCTGCAGTTAGCCTTCTCATCCGCATTTGAATCAGTCAGCACTGGCTGGGTTATGCTGCAGCAACAAAAAAAAACTCTCAGTGGCTGAAAACAGCCCTTCACACTGCTGACTATCCATGGCAGGCTGGCTGGAGGCACCACTTCTTGTGGGAGTGGTCCTCATTCTGTGTCCAGGGCCAGTGAGACAGTCACTAGTAGGCTAGAGGATTGCTAGCTATGGCAGCAGGGGGAAAAGATGCAGTGATTCTTTAAAGTTCTGTCTCGAAATGACACTTAGCACTTTTGCTCACATTTCATTGGCCAAAGAAAGTCACATGACAAAGTCTGACTTCACAGGTGGGGAAATAGACTCCTGCTCTATGAAAGCGACTATATGTTCACACCATGCAGTGCCCTATAATTTCTTTTACTTCTGTAGTCATGTGGATCTTGTTGGCACTTAATCTTCTCAGCCTTGTGTCATTACTTTACATTGTAGATGTATGCATCCCCCCAGTAAGATTGTAAATTCCTTGACAGCCAGCACTCTGTCTTATACTTCCTTGTATGTGACTCAACATGGTGCTGCACTTACACAGGCAGACCTCAGAGATGTTGTGGGTTCAGTTCCAGAGCACCACAATAAAGTAAATATCGCAATAAAGAGAGTCAAATGAATTATTTGGTTTCCCAGTTCATATAAAAGTGCCATTTACACCATACTGTAGTCTATTAAGTGTGCAATAGCCTTATGTCTAAAAAAGAGTATATACCTTAATTAAAAAGTACTTTATTGCTAAAAATGCGAACCATCATCTGACCTTTCATGATTCATAATCTTGCTGCTGGGGAATGCCTTGTGTGCATGTTGATGGCTGCTGACTTATCAGGGAAGTGTTGCTCAAGGCTGGGGTGACTGGGGCAATATCTTAACATAAGACGACAATGAAGTTTGACTTCACTGATTGACTCTTTCCTTCAGGAATGATTTCTTCATAGCATGCAACACTGTTTCATAGCATTTTATCCACAGAACTTCTTTCAAAAATGCAGACAAACCTCTCAAACTTCCTGCTGCTTTATCAACTAAGTTTGTCATATTCTGAATCCTTAGTTGTCATTTCTAAAATCTTCACAGCATCTTCATCAGGAGTAGATTCTGTCTCAACAAACTACTTTATTCGCTCATCCATAGGAAGCAGCTCCTCATGTGTTCAGGTTTGATCAGGAGATGCAGCAATTCAGCCATATCCTCATTCCAGTGCTTTTGCAATTTCCACCACATCTGCAGTTACTTCCTCCACTGAAGTGTTGAACCCTTCAAAGTCATCATCCGTGAGTGTTGGAATCAACTTCTTCCAAAGTCCTGTTCATGTTGATCTTTTGACTGCTTCCCATGAATCGTTAATGTTCTTAATGGCCTCTAGAATGGTGAGTCCTTTCCTGAAGGTTTTTCAGTTTACTTTGCCCAGATCTATTAGAGGACTCACTATCTGTGGCACCTATACAGCCTTACAAAATGTGTTTCTTAAAGAACATGTCTTGAAGTCGAGATGACTCCTTGATCCATGGACTACAGAATAGATGTTGTGTTAACAGGCATGCAAACTGCATGAATCTTGTTGTCCATCTGCATCAGAGCTCTTAGGTGACCATGTGCATTGCCAATGAGCTGTCAGATTTTGAAAGGAATCTTTTTTTTTTCTAAGCAGTAAGTCTCAACAGTGGGCTTAAAATACTCAGTGAACCATGTTGTAAACAGATGTGCTTTTATCCAGGCTTTGTTGTTCCATTTATAGAGCACAGGCAGAGTAGATTGAGCATAATTCTCAACGGCCCTAGGATTTTTGGAATGGCAAATGAGTATTGGCTTCAACTTCAAGTCACCTGCTGCATTAGCCCCTAGAAAGAGCATTGAAGCGAGGCACTGAATTCTCCTCAATAGTTTTGGAAATCCTAGAAAGCACTTCTTACAAAAGAAGGCTGTTTTGTCTACATTTAAAATCTATTTTTTAATGTAACTATCTATTTTTTAATGTAACTATCTATTTTTTAATGTAACTGTGGAGGTTCCTCAAAAAACTCAAAATAGAAATACCATTTGACCCAGGAATTCCACTCCTAGGAATTTACCCTAAGAATGTAGGATCCCAGTTTGAAAAGGACATATGCACCCCTATGTTTATCACAGCGTTATTTACAATAGCCAAGAAATGGAAGCAACCTAAGTGTCCATCACTTAGGTTGTAGCCATAACATATCACCATGAACTTCCAGACTTCAAACAACAGAAATGTGTTCTCTCATATTTTAGAGGTCAGAAGTTCAACATTATTTACCCTGGGCCAACATCGAGGTGTTGGCAGGGCCCCACTGCCTTGGACACCCTGGGGAAGAATCCCTGCCTCACCTGGTCCAGCTTCTGGTTGCTAACGGCATGTAACACAGGGAAGGAAGAAGGAAGCTTCAGAAAAAGAGCTGAGAGCCCCTGACCAGTATGGGAGTCTATCTCCTGGTATTTGGAGCCCAGCCAAACTGTGGAGGACAAAGCAACAACTTTAAGTGTGTTTCAGCAGGTCAATGTCGTAGTGTCTTGGGGCTGCCATAACATATCACCATGAACTTCCAGACTTCAAACAACAGAAATGTGTTCTCTCATATTTTAGAGGTCAGAAGTTCAACATTATTTACCCTGGGCCAACATCGAGGTGTTGGCAGGGCCCCACTGCCTTGGACACCCTGGGGAAGAATCCCTGCCTCACCTGGTCCAGCTTCTGGTTGCTAACGGCATGTAACACAGGGAAGGAAGAAGGAAGCTTCAGAAAAAGAGCTGAGAGCCCCTGACCAGTATGGGAGTCTATCTCCTGGTATTTGGAGCCCAGCCAAACTGTGGAGGACAAAGCAACAACTTTAAGTGTGTTTCAGCAGGTCAATGTCGTAGTGTCTTGGGGCTGCCATAACATATCACCATGAACTTCCAGACTTCAAACAACAGAAATGTGTTCTCTCATATTTTAGAGGTCAGAAGTTCAGACCTTTGGGAGAACTTGCTGCAGCTTCTGCATCAGCACTTGCACTTTTATGTTCTGGAGACGGCTTCTTTTCTTAAACTTCCTGAACCAACCTGTGCTAGCCTCCAGCTTTTCTTCTGCAGCTTCTCAGCCTCCGTAGAATTAAAGAGAATTAGGACTTTGGTCTAGATTAGATTTGATTTAAGGGAATGTTGTGGCTGGTTTGAAATTCTATCTAGACCACTCAAATTTTCTCTGCATCAGCAATAAAGCTGTTTTACGTTCTTACCATTCATCTGTTCACTGGAGTAGCACTTTTAATTTCCCTCAAGAACTTTTCCTTTGCATTCGCAATGTGGCTGTTTGGCACAAGGGGCCTAGCTTTCAGGCTGTCTTGGCTTTCCACATGCCTTCCTCACTAAACTTAGTCATTTATTTCTAGCTTTTCATTTAAAGTGGAGACATGCAACTCTTCCTTTCCCTTGAACACTTAGGGACCATTGTAGGGTGATTCATTGGCCAAATTTCAATATTGATGTGTCTCAGGGAATAGGAAGCCCTGAGAAGGAGAGAAATGGGGAAATGGCTGGTCAGTGCAGCAGTCAGAACACACACGACAATTATCTATTAACTTTGCCATTTTTTGTGGGCACGGTTCATGGCACCCCAGAACAATCACAATAGTAACATCAAAGATCACTATTCACAGATCACCATAACAGATATAATAATAATAATAGTGAAAATTTTTTAAATATTGCAAGAATTACCAAAATGTGACAGAGGTATAAAGTGAACAGATGTTGGAGAAATGGTGCTGATAGACTTGCTTGATGCAGGGTTGCCACAAACCTTCAATTTATTTTAAAAAAAAGAGCAACATCTGTGAAGGGCAGTAAAGTGAAGTACAGTAAAACAAGGTATGCCTGTAATAGGTGCTTAAAAATGCTTTTGATTGTACGAAGGAGAGAATGAAGGGATAACAATCAGAATTCTTTCCGTGTTTTAATGTAATGCTTTATAGCTTACTAAGAGTCTGTGCACACTCTTGCCTTTAATCTTTTCAGAGACTAAAGGACATATCATGCCGTTTACAGATGAGGAAAGTGAGACTCAGAACTCTCAGATGGTGTGCTCAGTGTTGCACAAAGAAAAAGTGATCGAGCTATGTCTGAAACCATGAATTCCGAATCCTGGACCAGTGCTTTCCCACTCCTTTTAGTTGCTAATGCGAAAGCCCAATTTTTTTCTTGTTCTGAGGATCACACAGGGAAGGAAGAAGGAAGCTTCAGAAAAAGAGCTGAGAGCCCCTGACCAGTATGGGAGTCTATCTCCTGGTATTTGGAGCCCAGCCAAACTGTGGAGGACAAAGCAACAACTTTAAGTGTGTTTCAGCAGGTCAATGTCGTAGTGTCTTGGGGCTGCCATAACATATCACCATGAACTTCCAGACTTCAAACAACAGAAATGTGTTCTCTCATATTTTAGAGGTCAGAAGTTCAACATTATTTACCCTGGGCCAACATCGAGGTGTTGGCAGGGCCCCACTGCCTTGGACACCCTGGGGAAGAATCCCTGCCTCACCTGGTCCAGCTTCTGGTTGCTAACGGCATTCGTTGTCCATTAGCATCCAGTCTGTGTCCTTTTTACATAGTCTTCTCCTCTGTATGTGTGAGCTCTCTGCCTCTCCCTTATAGGGACATTTGTTATTAGATTTAGAGCCCACCTAGATAATCCAGGATCATATCCCCATGTCCACATTGTCAGCTTAATCATTATCTGCAAAGACCCCTTTTCCTTGTAAGGTAACATTCACAGGTACCAGGGATTAGACCTGATACCTTTGGGACCATTTTTCAACCTACTGCAGTCAGCGCAGTGGGAACCCTTGCTGGTCCCATGGTGTTCCCCTGGCTCCCTCCCCTCCAAGTGGTACGGTTTATCTGGTATCATGGAAGGACCTTTGGAGTTTATCCACCCTAGTGGACCTGCCTCTCTGTGGCTATGTGGCTCTGGGCAAGTTTCTCACTCTGAGCCTCACTGGGTGTCCTCTTGTGAAGAGATGGAGGCCTCAGAGCCCACCTGCAGCTTGGTAAGAGATAATAAATGAGAGCAGCTGACATGGGCCTGCTGGCCGAGAACCCCGCCCTGCCCACTGCGCTGCCCGCCGCCCAGGCTCACCCGCGACGCTGCGCACAGAGGCCTGGAGGCAGCAGATGCTGCCCACTGAGATTCCTAGAGTGACTTCTCCCATTTATTTTTTTCAGTGAAGTTAAAAACACAGGATATTTATTAAATAATTAATCATCCTTCCCTTGAAGTGTTATTTCATTTCATGGATGAGCAGTTTATTGCCAGAGAACTATGTCTTCCTCCAAAATGATGTATAACATGATTTGGTATCTACATTTTTAGACACTTGAATGTTTTTTCTCTCTGCCACTGAACCTGAAGGTAGTGCCGTGCATATTCCTTTGCACTCTGTTTCTTCTAAGAGATACACTTGTGAATAGTAGGATGAGCTCATATTTTTCCATTTCTAAAGTAGTATGCACACCCTGGTATGTTAGTGCACATAAATTCCAGTAAACTTTAGTATTTGGTAAATACTAAGTATTTAGTAATAAATGCCATTAGGTAATAACCCTTCACAGCATTAAGACTATGAAGAAAAATAAATGATTATATAATTGGCAAGGACACTAATACTGTACAAAGGTATAAACCAAGAAATACCAAAGCCGTATTTTTAGCTCAGGAGTTTTTGTGGTTTCACATACATTTGTTGTCTATCTTCAGAATCTAAACTTCTGGCCTCATTTGTTTATAAAGCAGTCTCTCTAGAAATTTACCTTATTTTTAGGAAATTTGCATCTTAATGCTAGGATAATATGTAGGGGTTACACACCATCTCTGACCTATGACATTAGGGGGCCTGAAGTATGGATTGAGAAGAGTCATGAGACCAGAACCAAGCTTGGTTAGCAGTGCTGTGATCCATTGGTTATGTCTGCCATGGGCACAGAGCAGGAGGCGCAGGCATGGCACAGCATAATGACTGAACAAGTAATTATTGGAAGGTACTTTATTTAGTCCCTTACACAGTCATAGTGCACCCAGAGTAACCAATTAACGGTAGCTTTTATTCAGGAAAGGTAAAAAAATGGGGGAAAGGGACCACATATTGAATACTCTCAATACCTAACATCATATCTGAAATTTAGTAGTTTCTTGATAAACTTTTACTGAAAGAAGAAAAGGAGAGTCATTTGCCTAGAACACTGTGGCCACATTTACAAAGGGAGAGCTGTTTAGGGC